GAAAGAAAATTAACACAGAAATATACCATGGGCGTCTGAGCCATCTGCTCATGCAGTTTACTGTACCTTTTAGGAATTGCTCAGGCCTAGTCTCCAATATGACCCTTTTGTGTTTATGACAGAATACTGCTGTACATTTAAAATTTTAGGATCTATTGGGTTAAATTGGTCACATGTGTGTACAAATATCATACTTGCTGGTGTACAAATATTATACCAAAAATATAGAATGTTTACTGCTTATTCTTCACCAGATACAATAAACAAATGTCATCAATGTAATAAATTTATTCTATATAGTAGAGACTAAGCTACATCATGTTCTGAGACATGTCAAGATGATCTAGTTCTCACTAAGATATCTTATGGAGGAGATCAGGAGAACTGACAGATACTTGGACAAAACAGTAAAGAAATACTTTTATGAAATTTCATGAAAAGACACTCTACAAATGGTAGAAAGTATCTGTAATATATATAACTGACAAAAGTATTCTTTCCATATTATTTATACATTATGTTATAACTCATATGCATACACAGAAATATAACTACATATATCTATATCTATCTATATCTAAATAGATATCTTATAACTCAAGAAGATAAGTAATCTTATAATAATTGGAAAACATTTATATAGTTCCAAAAATACATATATTAATTGACATAAGCATGTGAGAAAATGCTCAATAGATCATTAGAAATGTGCAAATTCAAACCGTATTTAGGTATCATCATGTACCTGAGTGGATAAAATTTAAGATTTACCATGTCAAGTACTGCTGTTGAGGTGGAACAACCAGAACTATTCTCCATCAACCTCTTTAGAAAAGATTATATGTTTATAAAATTAAACATACATTTCTTTCTTAAACATGGCTTAATTTAAATGTGATTTATATGTAAAAAACTGTACCTATTTAATGTGTGTAATTTGATAAGTTTGGACACATGCAAACAGCCATGATACCAACACCACAGTCAAGGTAATAGACATATCCATCCCCCCACAGATGACATGCTAATCACAAAAATGCGGAGACAAAAACTTATTTTCTATATAATCTAACAATTCTACTCCAAGGTAGTTCCTCAAAAGATTAGAAAATAAATGTCTACAAAAAGACTTTAACATAAATATTTATGATGGTTTTATTTATGATAACTAAATATTGCAAACAACCCAATAGGATAATGGATAAACAAGTCATTATATATCCACACAATAAAATATTACTCAGCATTAAAAAAGGAATGAACTATTGGTCTATGTAGAAAGATGGATGAAACTCAAAAACATTATGCTAAGCAAAAGACACCTGACTCTCAAGAATACAAACTATGTGGTTCCATTTATGTAAAATTCTAAAACCAGCAAAATTAATCTCCATTGATAGTAGGTTAATGGCTGCCTGATTACAAAGGTAGAGGGAGAAACTGCAAAGGTACATCAGGGAACATCTTGAGATGATGCAAATGTTTCATATTTCTAGTCAAATTTTTCTTTGACTATTTTTTGCTTAGCAACAAAACTAAATTTCACTCAACCATGATAGTGCAACTCTCTTAATTATGCATTCTTAGTAGTTAGTTTTATGAATAGAATATCTTGGTGATGACAAATAGAATATATTGCTTTTTCCCCAATAAACATTTAGCCTTCTTTCTGTCCCCAGATGGAAACAACAATTCTGTGATTTGTCCTTTCCTCCTGTACTCCACCTTGCATAATTTTGTTTTGGGTGATGACAAAATTGGCCACAGTTGTATATTTGGAGCCACCCAAAACAGAGTAATCCTGCACTTCTTATTCTGACATTTTCTTTCTTTTTATTCTTTTGTGCTCTACTTTCCTCTGTTCTCACTTTATTTTCACCTCTGAGTGTCCCAGTGAGAACAAATGCTGTTACTCTTGACGCAGCTTGTGGGACAGCAATGATTTCCTTTTTGTTTCCTCCGTTTTTCATACAATATATAATATTGAGGGGGAATATCAAATAATTTGAAAATTTTGATGAGGACAGATTTGAAAACAAAATTGTGTCCTGATAACCTAACACTAGCATAGCACTATCATCTTGACTCTTCATGACACCATTCTGAGTACTTTTTAACAACCTTTTTCTTTTTCTCTCCTTTTCCCTCTCTGTGTGTGCCTGTGCCTGCGTGCACGGGTGTTCACATGATGTATGAATGTGAAAGAGAAAGTCATGCTTGTTCTTGTTTCCGGGGCCAGTTTAAAGCATAGCTTTCTTTAAGATGGACTCTCTTAATACATGATAATTAAGTGAGCATGTCCTAAAGCATGCTTTATCTCCTATGGTTCTGGAAGAAGACTAGTTATTCACCACTCTTGGGAGGATTGAGAAACTCTCCACTTGAATATGTTTTCCAGTATGGTTTAGATGTGGATTCTCTATTGAGAGGTAAGAATATGTGAGTTCCAGCAGCCCTGGGAGAAGATGGTCTCCCCAGCAGTGCCGGGCTCCAGGAAAGCCTTCAGTATGTCCGTAGTCGGCAGTTTGCCCCTTTTGTGAGGCACCTGTCCAGATATATGGTATCTAAGGTCTCTGTGCCACTGCTCTTTATTCTGCTGCATCTAAACAGAGTAAAATGGAACAGGTAGAAAAGGAATGGTTGAGAGTAGCCCAAAGGAACAGAAAACCCTGCTTCAATTATGAATCCCTATGCAAAGTGTCCACTAAAGTGAAAAGTCTAAGTGACATGGCCTCAAAAGAGAGGTTGATGTTTGTTTTTTCCCTCACATCCAAAGTGATCAGTTTGCTTGCTGCAAGTGGTTGCTTGAACAATACCCTGGAGAAGTGTCTGCCTTTTCTACCAGAATGAGTGTCTACCGTGGAGAAGTGCCGTATAGGTCACCACCGCATCTCCTTTAGTTGAAGCCAATCTTTCTGAATTAAAAATGGTCCTGAAGCCCTGGCCAGTGTGGCTCAGCAGTTAGAGTGTCAGCCCTTGGACCAAAGAGTTGTGGGTTTGATTGCTGGTCAAGGGCAGGTACCTCGGTTGCAGCTCCATCCTTAGCCCTGGTCAGGGTGGTGTGGGTGGCAAGCAGTTGATGGTGTTTCTCTCACATTGATGTTTCTCTTTCCCTCTCCCCCTCCCTTTACTCTTTAAAAAACAAAACAAAACAGTAGAAAAAATATCTTAGGGGCTTGGGTGAAGATTAAAAAAAAAAAAAATCCTGAAGAGCTTCCTAAGTAAAAGCCAAATATTGAAATTGGAAGTTAAGATTGATCTGTCAATCGTGGGTGGAATTGTTGCAGAAGGAAATAGGATTCTTCCATGGTATGGCAGGAGAGCATTTAGGGGATACACACATAGGAAGATTTGAGGTAGAGTGGCAAGATTTATTGGAATGAAAAGAAAAGATTGCCCCCAGGCACACCCTGCCCTATGTCCCATCTACAACCAGGTGGCTCAGCTCCATCTTGCTACAGAAGCGGTCCAGCAGGCCCACACCTGTCCGCACCAAGCCCAGGAGGAGGGCCAGGACCCAGAACTGCTGTGCCATTAGCCCTGCACCCAAGGCTTCACTCGTCCAGCACAGCCTCTGTTCCCATCTGGCCTGGTCTGCTGCTAAAGAGAGAAGGTATATGGACCTTAGGCCTTTGTTAAGCTTTGATTATATTTCCTTGGGCTTGGGAGAGATCAGGCTTTCTTTCAAACTATCCAGTCCCTTTCCTGGATCTTCTAGGGTTTTGTGCCCTTATTTTATCCATTTTCCCCTCCTAGATTTTCCCAGGCTAATTTTGGCTCATAAGTCTTGTGCCCCATAGTTCTGCTTCATCGTCTGGCATCTACTGCACATGCCTCAGCAGAGGAATTTCCCCTTACTGCTTACCCCTACCCCCTGTTAATCTGGGGAACTGGCTGGTAGTTCCCTGGGAAGATTGAAAACCAGTACTTCCTTCCTACTATCCTTTGGCAGAGGGCGAAGCTGTTCCCTGAAGTATCTGTGAAATGGTTCCTTCCTAATTAGGCTTAATGTCTGATTCCTCCTTCTTTGTTAATTACCAACTAACTACCATAACAGAATAATTGTCCATACTGGGGAAAAGATGTTGATATGTCTGCAAAAACCAAGATTCAGAAGCGGAGCGATGTTATGCGGGAGGTTTTCTGAAAGTGCTGATTTTCTGTCAGTGAAAATTCTTGAACTTGGAGCAACAATAAAATGCTTCCTGAACAGAAAAAAAGAAAGAATATAGGAGTTCTTTATTATTCCCTTTTCAGTTTTTTTGTTTGATATTTTTACTGTAAGGACAGGAAATAGGCCTTTCTTTTCTTTGTTATGGGTTTTCCACTTAGTAATTAAACATGGAGATTGTTAGCTCCTCTTCCACCCCTTCCTCCAGGTAGTTTTAACAGCTTCAGACTGGTTAGCAAGAATTCCTCCTCCTCGTCACTCCTCCCCTTCAGACAAGACTCCCCTTCTCAGACTCTTTGTAACCCTTCAGACAGACTCTCCCTTTCACATTCTATATAACTCTGTACTCTAAGTATATTTTACAGGCCAGAGAAGATGCTGATAAAAGACACCTCCTTAGTACATCTGCCCGACTGTCTCCTTGAAAGCAAACAAACTGTACCTTCTCAAGGCAACCCCTGACATCTGCTCGACTTTGCCACAGTCCTCTTCCTGCCCCAATTGCTCTTTACTCCCTAAAGCCCCCAATAAAAATGCACTCTCTTTTTCTTCCCTGCCCTTGCATTGCCTGTCAAAGCATGGGTCCTTTCCCTACTATGGGGAAAGTAAAATAAACTTCTTTTTTCATCCTCTTCTCTCTGTTGTAAATTCTTTCTAAGTCCGTGTCACTAGCCAAACCCTAGCACTTCCTGTCTGGTTTTTTGTTTTTTTTTTTTCAAATTTTCTTTCACAATGAGTCAATGCATGACTCTGAATCAGTCATGTAAATACTTTCATTTTGACAAAAGTTTACTTTTTATTTTATAACAGTAGCGTGACTGTAGTTAGAAATTGTGTTGTAAAAGCAACACATTTTTGCTTTAAAGTGAAAACTTTGAAGAGAGATTTTGGAAGGTATGGCCGACATCATCACTGTAGCTACCCCCACAGAAGAGGCGCCAAGAATTAATAACAGCAATCAAAGAACTGATACAACAAAGCAAGGTAAGAACACTTTAAATTGTTCAGAATGAAAGTTATTTAGTGAAATTATGAAGCCTAATGTTAAACAAAACCTTAGAAAACATGAAATGGGTTTTGTAGTTCTTCCGTCAAGGCAAAAGAAAAAAAAAATCCTATTGAAAATTAGAACAACAAAATTTAGATTTGTATCTGACTATTTTGTCCTTTCAATTCAGATTAACTTTATCTTGTCTTCATTAATTAACAATAAAGAGGGATTAACCATAGTTTAAAACTGTTCAAGATTTAGATTAACTTAGTATTTAATAATGGCATTACTGGAGAAGATGTTAAATATAATCTGTATACTCATTCAATGCCTAGAATGCACACAATATATGAAAAAAAAAAGGCCAATATTTTTAATATTTTAAAAGATTATTTCTAGGCTTTGTGGAACTCTAGACTTCAGATGTCCTTAGCAGCAGAAAGATTATCTCCTTATCTTACTTTAATCTAAATAATTGCTGGTACTCTGATATCTTTGAGGATGTCTCTGGCAACCTTAAGAAAGATAAAGAAAGAAAATGTACTGAAAAAAGAAAAAAACTTACAAAACAACTGGATGTATTAAATAACAAACTCAGAGTATGTAAGATCCTATAGCACAGATTCCCTGTGGTAATTATAATAATTTCACAAGCCAATAATATACAGAATAATATATCTTAATAAGCCAATATAAAATAACATACACCAAACCAAGGATAGATTAATCACACTGTTGTTTCAGACTAGGGGCATTAAAGAATAAAGTCTAAATTTAGAACAAGGTGTAACTTTTTACACCTAGAGGCACTCAGGAGAGACAGCCATCAAAGGAGAGCTGATTTCCAACTGCCACATAAAAGTTAAAGTACCCTGTTGCTAAGAAACAAAAAAGGTGGTGTAGGCTACCTGTCTTTTTGTCACTACCAATGAGATACTACACCTTACCAGTAGGAGCCAATGCCCTAAGGGTCTTGGGAGAGCTTTGGTGAAAAGGAATATAGTCAATAGTATTGTGATAAATTTGCATGGTGACTGATTACTCAAGTATAGATGTATGTTTTGTTCCTCCTCTTTTTTACCTTTGCTACGTTGGAGACAGGGTCTTACCTAGGAACAATTCCTTCATTAGTACTTTAGAACACAAACCTTCTAGCCTTTGCAAAAATTCGTCCCCCCCCCACCTGCATTTGTAATCTATCTCTTTTACACTAAATCATCCCCAAATGCATAACAACATTATTTGTTATACCGTTTTACCAAATCCTACCGTAACCATTCATCTCACTCCCTAACTCTGCTTACTCTCCATTCACATAGCAAAGGTTTGAGAGTCTACCTGGGGATCTCACTGTCTCACTTCCAAGCAATTTATCTTCCTTCTGTATTACTACATGAAACCACTCTAACAAAACACCAATGACCTCCATGTGTGCGCCATATGATTTTTTTAAATCTCTACTGCTAATATCTTATTTGAGACATCTACCATATTTTAACTGCTTAAAGTTATAGCCTACTAGTCTCTCCACCCAGGAGTCATAGAGAACTTTGAAAAACATGAATCTGGTCCTGGCCAGTTTGGCTCAGCAGTTAGATCATCAATTCAAGGACTGAAGGGTCTCCGGTTTGATTTCTGATCAAGGGCACATACCTGGGTTGCAGGTTCAATCCCTGGTCCCAGTTGGGGTCACGCAGGAGGCAAACAAATTGCTATGGGTTTCTCACATTAATGTTTCTCTCTCTCTCTCTCTCCCTCCCTCCCTCCCTCCCTTCCACTCTGTCTAAAAATCCATGGAAAATATCTTCAGGGGAGGATTAACAAAAACAAACAAACAAGAAACATGAATCCAGTGATGCCAAACACCCACTTAAAAAAAAATCCAATGGCTTTCCATTATACTTACAAGAAAATCAAGTTATTTTCTGGGGGGCCTTCAAAGCTTAGCATCACTTAACTTGTTTACTCTTAGCTAGTCACACTAGTTATACATTGCTACACTCTCTTAATTTCTTTCCTGATTCAAGGCAACTGCACTTGCTGTTCTCTTTGCTTGAAATGTTCTCTCTTGTTTATTTCGTATGATTAACATCTAAAATGTCCATGGAAACATGTGGTCCATAGTTAACCCATCTATGTAAAGCTCCTGGGACAAGAAGGGTTATTATCGGCACTACAGCTGCAACACAATTATTGGGCCAATAAAATCTGATAGTCTTTTTAATTTATTAATTCTGTAAACCCAAAGTAGAAATAAATATTATGAACTATTGGAACCCAGGGATTTTTTTTTAAGCATGGGCATTTTGGGCAAATATCAAGGACCATTTGTGGATTTATTGAGGGTCAGATGTGCTTATGGGCATTTTGGAATGGACCAACAATCAATGATGTTTTGGCATAGACTACAATGTCTCTGTAAACATTTTATTATTTATTTTTTTTATTTTTGTTAATCCTAATCTAAGGATATTTTTTCATTGATTTTTAGAGAGTGGAATGAGTGAAAGGAGGGAGAGAGAGAGAGAGAGAGAGAGAGAGAGAGAGATCAATTGGTTGCCTCCTTCAGCTTTGGATCCAACCTGAAACCCAGAAACACACCCTTGACTGGGAATCGAGCCTGAGACCCTTCCGTGCACTGGTCCATGCTCTAACCACTGAGTCACACAAGCCAGGGCATTGTGGATCTTTTAGACAGGGCCAAATGTCCTGCAAGATTTGTGTACATGGGTACTCCTCACATTTTAGGTCTTCGTTTTAATCTTTTTTTTCCCAGAGTGACCCTTGTGCATATCTTTTTTTGGCTCTTCCCTTTTGTCCAGTCAGAGCACCATATTTATTGCCTTTCTTGCACTAGTTGCAATTTGTGATTTAAAAATTTTTTTTTCTTTTATTGATGTTAGAGAGAGAGGAAGGGAGAAGGAGAGAGAGATAGAAACATCGATGAGAGAGAACATCGATTGGCCACCTCCTGCATGCCTCCCACTGGGTATTTAGCCCACAACCTGGGCATGTGTCCCGCCTGGGAATCAAACTGGCAGCCTCTTGGTGCATGGGTTGACCCTCAACCACTGAGCCACACTAGTCGGGTGCAATTTGTGTTTTTAAATTTTTTTTTTTTTTTGTATCCTCACCCGAGGACATTTTTGCATTTATCTTCATATAGAGAGAGAGGGAGAGAGGGAGGAAGAGAGAGAGAGACACATCAATGTGAGAGACACACATTGACTGGTTGCCACCCACACAACCCCCATTGGGGCTGGGGACAAACTGCAACCGAGGTATGTGCCCTTGTTATAATGTGTCAGCGAGATAACCAGAGACACACAGCCAAATTGTAAAGGAGCGCTTTATTCTCGCCAGCGGGCTGTGGAGGGCATAGTCTCCCCTCAGATCAGCAGCCCCAATGCTTCTTGCTCATCCGATTTTAAAGGCAGGACCCCCATCTTTCTTTTGCCCCCCCCAGAGGACTGGTACAACAGGGGGTGTGACAGCGATCACAGAAGAAAAATGAGCATTATCCACCAGGCTCGGAGGGCCTGCAGATGCCTGCAGTTACCTGCGATGACCAGTGCTCAGAAACTGCAGCTGCCTCCCAACACGTGGGGCAACTATAATCTTAGGCAAAATTCCTTTACTTCTAGGGGTAATTTACTTGTTATTGAAAAAATATTGAGGAAGGTCCATTGATGATAAAAATGGAGTCATTCAGTCGCCTCAGCCAAGAGGCTACATAAGAATGGAGTCTGGTCGCCTTAGCCTCAGGGCCCAGGTCATCCCCACTGGTTTTCCTGACAAGTCAAATCCTTGACTTGACTTAGTTTTTATGAGGCTATTTATTAGACACGACCCAAAGGCTAGGAGTAAACATAATATAGCGAGAGGGCCAGCAATGGCAGATGATAGAGTTGTAAACCAATTTTCAGATTGTCGCCTTTTTCTTTCTTGTTCCCCGATATTTTTCCTAACTAGTGATAAGCTTTCTTGAATCATCTCTGAATTATTTGCATAAAAACAGCATTTTTTTCTCAGTGCAACACATAATCCTCCTTCCTTAAGAAACAAGAGGTCTAATCTTCTCCTGTTCTGTAGGACCATTTCTAAATTCCCGGTTCCATTGGGGCCCAGGTCTATAAGGATTCCCCTGTACAGTCATAACCAGAAAAATCAAAGTCCCAATAAATGCAAGAGTCCTATCTGGAGAGGCCTGAACCATCCATTTTGCTTTTTCCCTCAGCCAGGAACGGTGCTGCCAGATCAGGATGCCGTTGACCTTGAGAGCCGTTGGTGCAGGCAGGACGACAGTGTATAATTCCTTCCAGGCCAGCGTTAGTCCCTGGGGGGTGAACTTCTTTACCCATATCGAGTCCCCAGGCTGGAAAAGGTGCACAGTGTCCAAGGTGGGCACAGGCAGGGCGTCGCAGATGTGTTTATGGACAGCTTTCTGGACAGACTACAGGGCCTGCAAGAACTGTAAGAGGGTGAGGGGGAGCAGAGTGGTCCAGTTTTCAACAGCTTTTAAAGTAAATTTGGTTAAGATTTCCTTTAAGGTACTGTTCATGTGCTCTACCTGCCTGGAACTTTGTGGGTGGTAAGCACAACTGAGCTTCCAGTTTATATCTAACTCTTTAGAGATATCCTGTAAACTCTTTGCTATAAAGGCGGGGCCATTGTCTGATCCAAAGGTCAGGAGTAGCCTAAACCTGTTACTCCCAGACTGTCATTCCATTACCAGGGGCACACTCTCCCTCTCGGTATCCTTTTTCTTTCCTCCTTGAGTATTCCTCTAATGTCCTGTCTTCCTGTAATATGTATGCCCCTTTCTTTTATTTATTTTTTCTTCTGCATAATCCTTTTCTTTTCATTTCTTGCATAGACCCTCGCTCAGTCCACCTGCTGTCTGCACATCCCCCAGCTTTTTTCTCCTCCTCCCTACTCAGACGCGCACATACCTGTTTCCCTCTGCCTTCTCCCTTTCCCTGTGACCTTCCCG